AAGAAGAAAAGGTCACCTGAATATAAAAATATTCCTGCAGATGATCTGAGATTATGGATGATCGAAATTAACGCTTCTAACGATGAAAAAATAGCAAATTATCCACTTAATAGTGAAGATGAACTTCACGCAGTTAGTCTCATAAGTGATTATTGGATATTGGATCCACTCCCGGGACATATCCATGTAATTGTTGTACCGCCTGGAGCCGTAGAAACTTCATCCCCTGAGAAACAAAAAAAAGAATCGAAACCACCAAAAACTGCAAATAATAAAAAAGATATTAAAGCTGACACATTGCCAATTTCATCGGCAACCTCAACTAATAAAAGACAGGCCACACCTAATAAAAAAAAGAAGGAAGCGGAAACCACTCCTAATAAGGAGCAGCATAAGACTGTACATAGTAAGGAGCAGCAGAAGAATGCGAATAATAAAGAGCAACAGAAGAAGACTGCGAATAATAATAAACGGAAAGAAGATACGCCGCCACCACAACCCGCTCCTGATAGTAAACGAAAAAAAATGACTCAAAAACAGGGTGAAACGCAAACTAGCACACCTATGCATAAACGTGACGAGATTTTGAATGATTTATTAGCTGACGTAATGGAAGAGGACGAAGATGAGCTTACCGACGATAAACCTCTTAGAGAGCTATGCTATGAATTGGTAAACACAAAACCTCCCACCAATCTTTGCTACTTCAAGATTGGTAAAGCACTCCAGGACCGACTTGAAGAACTTATTGTAAATAAACATAAGAATTCTCGAGAAATACTTAACACAGAAGTTAAAGGCTATTTTAGTGCTGGTACCGATTTCAAGAAAGAAATGTCGAGGGCTACCAAAATATTCGATTTTTTCAAAGATATAGGTGAAAGCAGGATTAATCGAGTTCGAGCCACTCCGAGTATGATTTCGAAATTAACAAAAGATGATGTTAGCTATATACATGGAAAATATAAGAAATCAGATAAATAAGGAAAATTTTCATCATACGTATGCAAATGTCCGATTTTCTCTTTAAAAACATTCTATAAAAGGAATATATCATTTCCCAATTCTATCGTTATTTGTGTCAATGGCAATTATTTTTTTTTTCTTTTTTAAAAATTTAATTTACTCTATTTTACGGTTGTATTCATTAATTTTGGGACATTTTGTAAAAAAAAATTGGTTAAGTTTTTTATTTCGACAATATAATGTGTATATCTTGCTAATGACATGCATTCAATATCACTATTTTATTTTTGCGTTTCGGATATTATATTAGATTCAGTTGTCACCTTAAATCACGTGACACCACTATAGATTTATATCGATATCGTGAATTTTTTGCATTTTGATTTATTTTTGTATTTCTTTTTACATAGAAATAAATGTTATGTTAAAAATTTTACTAAAAATTGTACTGTTATTATTTCTATATGGGCTCGGGGTGAATAGTAGAGCATTCGAATTCCATGATTTTGTCATTATGAAAATTCGATGCAAGTTGCTGCCGAATTTAATTGTAAAAATAAAAGATTTTTACAGCTGTTTTCATTAAATTTTCGTACAGACTAA